TGACTTATCAGAAGTGAAAATATCATTATCATTAATAATTATTGCATTATCATCATAAAATGTGATAGTAAAACGAAAATGTTTCACTTTTAATTGAATGCATGCTTCTAAATTTTCATCAAGTCCATAAATTACATCATGCCAAACTGACAAATCATTATTTTGAAATTCTACTTTTACTTGTAATTCTTCAAGAAACAATGTATCTTTTTTTAGTACTGTATCTAATAAATCCTTGAATTTTTTAGTTTCTTCAATACTAATTAGGCTTGATTTTATGACAGAAATGCCATTTTCTATTACAATAACAAACAAATAAAACCATTTCTAAAAAAATTCAAAAATATTTTTTTCAAATTTTACGCACGCGTTTAAAATATTTATTGTTTATCATTACTTAAAATAGTAAGGTAGATCAAAACGTTTAAATGTTTAAATTTTTACTACCCCCCCCCCTCACAATTTTTTCTAAAAAATGATGTTAAACAGATCTCTAAATTTGAACGGCCTAACGTTAATTTATTTATTTATAATAATAATAATGATTGCTCGTGTAACATCGTGTAGACTAATGCCCTTTCACTTTTTCTCAAATATCTCAAAACATTTATAAGAAAAATGGGTATAGTTACTAAGCTAAAAATGTTCTTTGTGATGAATTACATATAAAAATATTGTTAACTCAAAATCGACTTTTTGGTGACATGTCTTGTTTCTATTGATCAGACCCAATTAACGTGATCATAATGGCTTCAGTGAAATATGTGCATTTTTATAATGTAAGTGTTTCAGTTTGGGAATGATCTACATGTAAACCAATTGTCATTTGCACAAAAAATTGTATTGCACTTTTTGTCTACAGGATGATATGGCAATTAATTCTCATATTTTTATATAAATAAATGTTATAATTAATCATTCTTTATTTGATATACATTTCCTTAAATATATTTTGACAAAAAGAGGCCACTTTTGTTGTAACTAAGAAGTCCTTGAGTTTTGTTCTTTAGATTTTCCTTTAGTAGGATGCATTGTTTGTAATTTTCAAATAAATAAGAGTTATTACACTCAGAACCAAATAGGTTGTTTCATCAAGAAATAGCCAATGCAAATCATACCCAGAAATTCCAAGAGATCATGATATATTATAAAGGAAAATTTATTTACTCCAATGTTGCTTTTAAAATATTTGATTTATTAATAAAATTAATTCTTTTTTCACTTGTGCTTTGTTGATACCTAAAAAGGCAAATTATTGTCATGCACGTGATCAAAATGTCTTACCTGGGTGTGGGGGAGTAAGTGCTACTATTAAAATGATATTAGCTAATATATGTCAGCGCCCTTACAGATTAATTAATAATAAAATGATTATACGAAACGTAACACAGGTATAAACGAGCATGATGGACATTCGTATGTTACACGATCACCAATATACATTTCAATTGAAGATTTTAAAGTACTATCACCCCATTTGGAAGGTGAATGGACGAACACTAATTAACCTGTGTTCAAACTTTGCAGTATTATAATCTTTATCTTTTAAAACGTTTTCCGTGTCAGATCAGACTAGATCAGACCTTCCTTGATTTCAGTGTATAATAGTGAAAATGCCAAAAATTAAACAATGCATGCTTTGTAAAGAAACTAAATCTGAATATTTTAGAACAATAAATGAAACTACTAAAGGAAAAGCTGAAGGAGGAGGATGCTTTGAACTTAATATAGGCGATTCTCTCTGTACAAAGTGTTACACCTCAAAGGTTCAACGGGATAGAAACATCAAATATCAAAGACATAGACTTAATACTAGTCAGGAATCATATTTACCAACGACAAAAAAATTAAGAAAAGAATTAAATAAATTAAATACTAACATATCTTCTTCTTCAGAAATAATAGAATTACAAAATGAAATAGATAATTTAAAAAACAGTATAGATAACTTAAAACAAGAAATGGAGTCTATTACAAGGCCATCTGTTGATAAGATTAAAGGTAATTGTAAAATTTATTTAAAAATTATTTTTTTGTAATTGTAAATTTGTTTTATTTAAAAAAAATTTTTAAAGGAAATTAATTATATATATATTATTTTTTTATTGTCATTTTTTTTTTTACGTAGATATGATTGAATTTTCACAATTTTTTAATGAACAAGTAAAAAAAATGTCAACTGTCCTTTATAATCATCAACATAGAGAAAATAAACCTCCAATTAATGATCCTGATGAGTTTGTTCGAATTATTGAAGAAAAAGACTCGGAATTGATTGGGTTTTTTGATATGCTTTATCAAAGTATGAATCCTTCTTCAAAAAACAAAAAAACTCAAGAAGATTTAAAAAAAAAAATTATAATACTTTGTTATCAAATTGTAGGTCTAAGAAACAAACAAATAACATTGGGAAAAAAAGAATTAGCATTACATATGTCTTCAACTGGTACTTCTGCAGCTGGAATAAATTTACTTTCCAAATGTGGAATTACTACAACATATAAAACTGTATTAAGAGAAAAAAATGAAATTGTTAATAGACACAAAGAAAATTTAGAAGAATATATTGAAAAAAATATAAACTCTCTTATAATAGGTTTAATTGATGATTACCACGACATCCACCAATCAAGGAATACAACAGATGAAAAGCTATCCCAAGTTGCTCATATGGCAAATACTATGATACATACACCTAAGATTTCACCAACACCATATTTTTCAAATATGAACGAACCACTTCACAATCCTCTCAATATTGATGTAGATTTGCTATCTTGGGTTTTAACAAATGATTATATTTCACTTTTTGGAATTAGTTATGTAGAAAGGAAATCATCATGGTTTTGCATAAGTGATTCATCAAATCTCACAGAAGATTCATTAATTGATCATTTAACTATTCATAACTACGAATCAGATCTACATATTAATCATATAGAAACACGTAAAATGGATACAGTTAAACTTGTGGATTTTATTCCACAAGAATTAAAATCTTTAGATGATTATTTAAATTCGATTGATTTGTTTATAAAAATACCTTTAATAGACAATTACTTATCTGAATTTATTATTCCAGTTCCAGCTGACTACCCTGGACAATACTTTATATGGAAGGCAATTACACTAAGGCAAAGATATCAAGAAAATTCAGGTATTTCTGATAAAATCATCAAATTTGTCCCTTTATTAGGCCCTCTTCATGTTTCCTTAATACCAGAGAAACTAAATTTAAGAAATATTATCCATTTTTCAATCTTTTATATAAAGATATATTTCAAAGACAAAGAAATGTTTCTTTAACACCACAACCTTGGATAATTAATTTGATTTTACATTTGGCTCATTCAGGATGGTCTATTATAAGAAAACATATTATTATAAAATTTCAAACAATTATAAATACTGAATACCAAATATTTCTAGAATTATTAGATAGTCTTATTCCTTCTACCTTGGATGTATACGCAATATTATTTAGAGAAGGCCATTTTCAGGAATATATTGAAACAATTTTTAGATTATGGATGGTAATGATGAGATTTAAAAGAAAAAATTATGACAAAATCATGATTGCTTTTCTTTCTGATATATTTTATTGGCTAACTATAGATCATCCTATGTATGATATCCTGAAGGAACATTTATCAGAATTTAATGAATATTTTATTGAAAACTTTCATAGTTTGGTTCATAGAAATACTGCAAAAAAAAATTTTAATCCAGATGGTTTATGACGTGATGCTTTAACAATAGATTTCAAACGTCATAATTCTGAATTTCTAAGTCCATTTTTAAATTTTAAAAATATCCATATACAAAAAAAAAGATTGATATGATGGTTAAAAAATCTGCAGTATTTTTATTAGGTTTTTTCCAAAAAATTTTAGCAAATAAAAATAATGAGCAAGTAATTCCAAAGGGCAAAAAGAAAACATATACCTTACCAACATTTAATTTGGAAGTTCAGTTTTGTACATTACCTTCAGGGTATCATACATCAAATCCACCAGATCCTAATATTAAGTGTGATTATGAGGATTGCAATATTGGAGAGGATTGTAATTCAAACATTTTGATATGTGGTCATGCGTATCATAATACACAGTGAATTCCGATTTAGCGGATATGTTTGTTCCAAAAAATTTATCCGCTAAATCGGAATATCCGCAAATTCGAGCAAGTTGTACAAATCACGAGATTATGTGACACGAGTCATATATATATTAAAAATAATAAAATACAGTAATAAAATAAATATAACTACAAAACAAAAAAAAATATTTTATTCCATCATATAATAATCATCCATTCTCATTTATACTTTTTCTTGAAAACTCTTATGAGAAATTTCCCTCTTTAATTTATTGATACTTCTAATTACTTGAAAATCAATATCTAAATTTTTTTGTTGCACATATTTAAGTGCCACTTCCAAACCTTTTATGGCTTCTGTATCAGTAACTGCTGATTCAGCTTCAGGCTCATTTATTTCATTATCATCTTCATTTCCTGACTGTCGTTTTACAATATTCACAATCTCTTCATCTGTCATTTCTTCTTGAATAACAAGATTTTGGTCAACGGTAATAAATTCATTGGCATTTAGATTATCTGTAAAGGGAAGTTCACTAATTAAATCATTTATTTCATTTACTTCTGATTGTCGGTTTGAATCTTCATTTGTTAAATTAATTGAACTTAGGTTATTAATGATTTTTGTTTTTTCCCAGCTACTTATAATTGTTTCAGTTGTTACTTGATCCCAAGCATTAGATATAAAATTAATTGCATCAAAAATATTTACTTCAGGTACATTTTGACCACTATCATCTGCTTCTTGGTAAGCTCTAATTCTATTTTGACAAAGGATCTTTCTATATTTTGACTATAAAGAATTTGAAAATTAATTTATGCTAAAATAGAAAATTAATAAAAATTTATTAGGTACCTTTAAACTATAGATTATTCCTTGATCTAAAGGTTGTAGAATAGATGTAGTATTAGGGGGAAAAAATGGACTTTGATATTTGATAAAGTGGGTATATTTTCAGCATTATGAGAACTTGCATTATCCAAAAGCAAGATTATGTTTCTATGTTCTCTAACCATTCTGCTATTAAATCTTTCTAAATAATGTTTAAAAATACTTCTTTGCATCCATGCTTTAGTGTTCCAATAATACCATACTGGAAGTGTATTTTTGGCAATCCCTCTCAAATTTCTTGGATTTTCATATTTATGTATAAAAAGGATGGGAAGCTTTTCTCCAGTCAATCTGCAAGTAACCATAGCAGTTATATGATATTTGGGACGTTTTTTTCCTAAAGTTGGTGCATGAGAAATTGTTTTATTTGGTTCTAATCTCCAGTATAAAGCAGTTTCGTCACAATTCCATATATCTTCCGGGTTATATTCTCTTAGGACTTCTTGAAGTTGGCTTTGCATATTGGCGATTTCATCAATGGGTGCACTTAATGATTCACCTCTCTTTTTGTAGCTACGTAAATTATTCCTATTTTTAAAATTTCTCAACCACCCTAAAGAAGCATTGAAATCGTCAATTTCAAAAAGACTAGCAAATTCTTTTGCTTTCTCTTGGATAATAGAACCACTTAATGTTAAATTTCTAGCCAAATTTTGGTCAACCCAGATTCTTGTTGCTTCTTCAACCCTATGAAAAAAAAACCGACTAAAAGGTACTGAATATATACGTTATAAAACAGTATGAAACATATGGAATTCAAATAGTACAAAAAGTACAGAATTGGACACTTTTCCGTACTTTTCCATACTGAAACAGTACTGCAATGGTGCTGAATTGGTATGGAATTGGTACGGAACCAGTATGTAATGGTATGGAACCAATACGGAAATTTACTAATTGAAATTCATTAAAAAATCTATTTATAACTGTACTTTAGTTACTGAATCCAGACTGAAATTACGTATTCAAAACATATTTTAATTACTGAAAAGGTGCTGAATACATACTGAATTTACATATTCAAAACATATTTTAATTACTGAAAAGGTGCTGAATCCATACTGAATTTACATATTCAAAACATATTTTAATTACTGGAAAGGTGCTGAATCCATACTGAATTTACATATTCAAAACGTATTTTAATTATTGAAAAGGTGCTGAATCCATACTGAATTTACATATTCAAAACATATTTTAATTACTGAAAAGGTG